CAAAAAAAAAAAAAAAAAAAAAAGAGAGAGAGGGCCGTCACACACATATAATATGACACATTCAGATTCTTTTAAAATCTAACAGACGGGGAAACCACAGGAAACCTAACATTTGCATCCTGCTTCACTCATGAATACTGAACTGTACACAACAGTTCACATCCTTCAATTGATTTTAATGAATAAAAAACCCACACTTTTTGCGTTTTATGTTCCTGTATAAAATGCAATTTGTATTTTTTGGTCTTTTCATTAAAGTTTATGGGCATTATAAAATTAAACTTCAAGAATTATTTCATTTTTACTTAAAATCAACATCACAGCCATCGCTGGTTAACCTGTTAACCTGTGTCTGGTGTATCATGGTTAGGCGCTTCACTATTACACGTAAGAGACCAGATTTAGTTTGATTCCAGAGTGGGGAGAATTCTTTATTATATTGCGTATCACGCAGGTGTTTCTGCTGGAATTTTGTATTCTCCTCTTGGTCTGGGTGGGTCCTCCTAAATGATCTAAATTGTGTTGATGGGGGCGTTAAAAAGCTAAATCTAATGAGGATGAGGTTAACTTTATCTACAATGTATATCTATAGACTGATAATATGTTTTGAGTAGGACGCATTTGAATTTGTAGAAACTCATTATACTAAAATACTTCAGAAAGGTCAGAACTGAATCCAATTTGGCAATCAAGTTGCTCTGAGAGAAGGCAGGAGAGACAAGAATCCCCATTACAAATTAAATGAATTATATATATATCATTTTAGTTTTAGTAAGTGTTTGATGGCAGCAACACAATAAGGTCATTATTCATTAAATATATAAGTGTCGAAGAAAATTAGCGAGGTTTTAAAAGAGAGTAAAAAAACACAAAAAAGGAGGGCGACTGATAGGAAAGAAGAAGCAAACCACACCAGAACACCCGCCAACCACCCACAATATATATATAATATGTACAGTCGAACCTGCCTTAACAGAAACCTGTATAAAACGGAAACCTGTCTTAACAGAATCTCCCCGCTTCCCCCTTGATATATTCCTCTTTAATTACCTGTATAAAACGGAAACCTGTCCAACGTGGATACGGAAAGAAAAATCCGCTAGCTTCTGAGGATTTCACCTGTCTAAGACGGAAAATGCTTTGCCCGCTCAACCCTGATTTGAAACAAAATTTGCAAGTTTGGTTCCGCCGACTCTAAACTTAACGCTATGGCTATGCCGCTGGGCGAGGAAGAGGAGTAGGGTGCAATTTGGGGGTAGATGTTACTCTTTCATGTGAACCCTGAGCGATGCAAATGGTCAGTGTAGTGTGGGTGTGAAATCAGAAATCTCACGACTTCCCGTGAGAGTGCTCGAGTAGCGAGCCACTACGGAAACTTTCCTGGGTAGCCAGAAGCCAGAGGTGTGAAATTAGATTGACCAATGACCAATGCCTGCCGCCCTGATCGTACGGCCAGCCGAAAAAATTATAATTCCTCGAATCGTTGTTACAATGATGGCAGTGAGGGGGTGGCATATTGGTGGGTGGGGCTAAGGGTCGAACCAAAGGAGATGTTCAAACGTTTCAGTTTTTAATAGGTCAAACAGTGGTCCTATGAAAGGCAAGCACTGGTGGTAATTGGATAAAAGTAACAGTGGCACATGTCTTTATCAGACAGGATATTACCAATTTCGAGGTGTGAAGTTTTGATCACTGCTTGCCGATCAGACAAGTGATCCTTGATCCCACAGGCTGGGCTTTTGAACCCTCCAACCTCCATCTCCCCCTAAATTCCCCTGTTTAAGTTTAAGACAGAAAATGTCTAAGACGGAATTTTTTTCTGGCTCCCTTGCGATTCCGTCTTACACAGGTTCGACTGTATATATAATATCTATGAGTCATTGCATAATGATATGCATGCATGTTGCGCCCTAATTTAATTTCAATAACATCCTCTGACTCTAACCTGCTACATTCTAAATATTTAACGCGAAACCTGGTGGGTTTATATTTAATATAACCTCCATACTCATTAAAATTATTCAATAAACATGTGAACCTCAGACTCAAATTCTAGTACGCCCCCCCCCCCCCCCCCA